CCCAGCCTTTCCTCCAAGGGGAAGTGGGAGACTCGGCTCAGCCAATCCGCGCGGGTCCTGGCGCTGACGCCACAGACGCTCGCCTCCGATTGGCTCTTCTCGAAGAGGCTGGGGCTTTTTTTTTTTTTCCTGTTTGAAATAAATTATGAGTTAATTACAGGAGCAGTCAGCAGAGTTGTTATTAGGCGATCCCTCTAGGGTTATAATCACGCCAAGACTGAAAAGTCCAAGGTGTAATTAAGGACGATTATTTAAAGAGGAAGTTCGCCGATTCCCATTTCTTCTCTCTTTTGACCCCTCTTTAAAGGGTACCCAGTGCCCATCCCACTCCCCCCCCCAGCCTAAATATGTTTAAAGTCTGCAACTGGTATTGCAGAAACATTTATGAGGCTCCTACTATGCGCCAAAACTGAACTAACTTTACAACTTGAGGAGTCAGCACTGAAAAACAGGGGCCAGCGTTTCTCCTCAAGGAAATGATACTTGCTGGGCGCTTAGAAGAGCATCTCTCCTTAGCCAGCGCTCCGTAGCTTTGGCTCTTAAATTTCCTACCCCTAGAAAGAGGGGTGAGAAGGGAGCCTGAGAGGTGTTCAGGGGTTCCTCCTGCCTGCCAGATAGGACTGGAGAATTTAAAGCAGTCGTCCTCACCTCTTCTATTCGAAAACAAAACCAACGCAGTTTTTGAAACCTGAAGTCAGGGCTTTTCTTGCCCCCGAATCTCTTTTCTAGGAGACATCCGAATCCGAACCTTTTTCTCAAGAGCGAGGGCAAATGTGTGTTCATGAGTTTGTTTGAGCCTGTGTTTGTCCGGTGTGTTTGGGTGCCAGTGTTTGCCTTGGAGAATGATGGGGAGGGAGGAAAGCGCACAGATAGTATCTGTGAACTCTCTCCCCTTGCGAATGTCAGAAATAACCTGGTTCTAATTTCGCATACCCCAGGCCTGCGAACATTTTTTGGAACCATATTTTTATTTATTGCAAAGAAAAGCAGCAGCATAGGTATCCCTTCCAGCTCACCCTAAATTATATCCTCAGTAATTATGTCCCAAAGCCTGAGTCCCAGGCAAGGCTGAGAGAATTCGAGAGCGCAAAGGCCCGGGACTGCAGTCCGCCTAGTTCAGGCAGATCGCTTCAAATGGCTCTTTCCAGGCAGCAGCTGTTCTTTCCTATATCTGTACTAATATCCCGCCAGTGATGGGGTAAATAGGAAGCCTCCCAGCTGGAGAACTCACATACTGCAGATGCCAGCTAAACAATGCCTAGAGCACTAGGAAAAAGGGGTATTGTTTTGAATTATTTAAACGATCAAGGCTTTGAGGCTACCTACCTTCCAGTTCAAGAGTTTTGGAAACTTGACCCCTGGCCCTACAGATCCTTAAATCCTTCCCAGAGTGCAATTTTGATGTACTGTTTCCTTCACCCCAAACGTTTGCCTGGAGTGACACGTCCTGGCCCTGGAAAACTGGAAAAAGTATTATCTGAATCTTACAGGATGAAAAGTTTGCACTAGCCAGTTAATTCGGTTGGATTTAAAGTGGTCCTAAAAAAGTTAGAAAAACAAAGAGTTAAAAAATAAAGTCCTAAACAGTCTTCTTAAGCCTCTGGATCTCGGTCCCACCACTGAGAACAGATGCATACTTTTCTATTGTGTTGTTTTGTTTTGAACAAACTGGAAACTCAGAGACTTTTTTTTTTTTTAAAGAACTATGAAAGCTATCTGGAGATGTATGCATTTTCCCTTGAGTCATACCTGATGAGAGCTGGCTTGATATGCATCTCAAATACAGTACAGGTAAATCTAGATTAAGTTCCATGCCTTCCAGACTGACAAGGCAAGGTGCGGGCTATATATTTTGGAAGCAAACCTAAAATTCGTTTAGTCCTCACTTGCCAAAGTGTACAAAGGGTTCAACTTTCAGTTGAGCTGGAACTAGCCAATATTTTATAATTGTTCCTGAAAACTCAACTGTTAATATTTGTCAATTTAGGGCACACAGCTTTGTTCTTGGGAAATTTAAAAAAAAAAAAGCAATACCCCTGGGGCACCTTTATTTTAATGCACTTCCCTAAGAGAGAAGCAGCTAGTACTCTGGGGTCCTGATGTCCAGAGGAAGAAAATCAAGAAGTCAAAAAGAGGAAAATAGTGGAGATTAAACACACACACATTGGTGTGCAAAACCAGAGTGCCAAGCTCCAGCCATAAGTAAGAGATGCCCACGGAGACAGGCAGCCTGATCGCCTCCATGTCTTCTCCAGATCCTCTGAGAGCTGGGTGGAGACCATCCAGAAAAAGGTCTCACTGCTGCTGGAGGAAGCCTGGAACCCCCACACAACTCTTAACTCTGCAGAAAGCCCCTCTGTGCATTCGCTTTCACTTGCCTGCGTGTTTCAGAACACTTTCTCGGCCTCTTTTGGGCAGTGTGACCTTGGGCACGCTATTTCGGCCACCTTAGTCTGAGATTCAGTTCGGAACCTTTAAAATGAGACGTCTTTCCCTGGGATGACTGTTATGGCAGTTACATGCACTAGCCTACGGGAAGTAGACTAGAAGGTGTAAGGGGTCAATTAAGAAAAAAAGTATTGCAAGGACAATGTTTCTGTCTGCCAGAAAGCCAAAGGTGAGGCGCGCCGACGCCTTCACTGCGCTCAACGCAGGTTCTTGGAGAAATCTCCAGGCTAAGAATTCGGCTTGCCCTGAAAAGTGTCCTCGGTCGGGTATAAGCCTTTAGGAGGGACTTAGTAAGAGGTAGTTCTGGAGGACGTGAGCTGCTGGACACAGTATTTGCAAGCAGAATAGTGGGCTCCAGAAGCAACCTAGCCACCGGCGAGTGTCAACTCTGCACGAGGCTTTAACCTGGACCTGTCCAGGACGTCATTTGTTTCTTCCAGCTCCCCCGCGGCGGGCGGACATTGTGGTCTACACTTTACAGACGAAAATCCTAAGGAGCCCAAGGTCGCACAGGTAGGAAGTGAAGACCTGGAGATTCCACCGCTCGGCGGAGGCCTCAGTCCGCGGGTCTTGAGCCCACTGCCTTCCTTCGCTTCCGCGGGCCCTTGGGCGAAGGAGCCGCGAACGAGTGCCCCAAGTCCGAATGCGAAAACCCGGCTTGCAGACAGCGGAGGGATGCGCGCAGACCGCAGTGTTCCTAACCCCAGGACCGATCGCCGGATCCCGACCGCTAGGAGAAGGCGGGGGAGGGGCAGCGAAGGGGGCTGTAGACGGGCCAGGGCTGCGGGCAGGCGCCAGGCGCGGGGAGA